TGGAAAACCACCTTTTCGTAACCCACCCGAAAAGTGAGCTCACCAGCTTCCACATCAACAAAAGCCTTCCCCGTAGCAAGTAAAGGTCTACCTAAGATAATAGGCACCTCATAGTCAACCTCACAATCAAGGATCACAAAGTCTGCTGGAAGGATGAACTTATCAACTCGGACTAACACATCATCAATAATTCCCAATGGCCTCTTCATAGTCCGATCCGCCATTTGCAATCTCATAGATGTGAGTCTCGGTTGCCCAATTCCCAAAGTTTTGAACATAGAATAGGGCGTCAAGTTGATACTTGCCCCCAAATCACATAAAGCTTTGGCAAAGTCGGCACTCCCAATAGTGCAATAGATTGTGAAAGCACCAGTATCTTCCAATTTCGAAGCCATTGAGTGCACAATAGCACTCACTTGATGTGTCATCTTGGTAGTTTCACAATTCATCGACCTCTTCTTGGTGACCAAGTCCTTCATGAACTTTGCATAACCCAACATTTGTTCCAATGCCTCAACCAATGGTACATTGATAGAAAAACTCTTCATCATGTCAATAAACCTTTTGAATTGGTTCTCACTATTTTTCTTTTCAAGCCTTTGAGGGTATGGAGGAGGAGGCCTTGGCATTGGTGCCTTAGCTTTTGGCACTATCGGTTCCAGTATGTCAATCATGTACTCCCTAGATGGATTCACCTCTTCTTGCGTCTCCTCCACATTTTCATCAATATCAGTTCTCACTTCGTCATTAGCTTGAACCACATTGCTTGGAATTTCATCTTCTTTAACTACAACATCATCATCCACAATTCTTCTTTAATTTGAGGTGGTTGCATCTCCACCTTTCCACTTCTCGTAGTTACATCCATAGCATGTCCCATATTATTCCCCCCCTTGGGTTCACCACTGTATCACTTGGTAGTTCTCCCTTAGGACGAGTGTTCAATGCTTGTGAGATTTGGCCAAGTTGAACCTCCAAATTTCGGATTGAAGTGTTGTGGGAGGCTAATTGAGCATCAGCGTCGGCAGTTTTCTCCATCATTTGTTTAAACATACTTTCAATTCATCCCATCTCATTGTTAGAAGAGCTTGGGTCTTGAGAAGGATAGGGAGGTGGATTGCTCGGTTGTTGGAACATCGGGGGCCTTTGAAAACCCGAACCCTGGTTGTTGTTGTTTTTCCACCCTCCTTGATTACTTCCCCAATTACTTTGATTGTTGCCACTCTAATTGCCTTGGTTTCCTTGATTATTCCAATTGCTTTGATTGTTGTTGCCACCACTCCAATTGCCTTGGTGGCCTTGGTTGTTCCAATTTCCTTGATTTCCTTGTGATCTCCATTGTTGTTTATTTTGAACATTGTTTTTTTTACCTTGATAATTGTTGACGTATTGCACTTCTTCTTATTGCTCATTATATGAATCACCTTGGTCATACCCACTATCATCTTACATTAATTGTTCTGCACGGCTTTGTCCTTGTTGACCTTTTTGTCGTCTCTTGTTCATCATCATATTTACACCTTCCATCGCATTCACTTGTTTCGACCCTTGAATTTGTTGCAGCTGAACTTTGGCCAATTGGTTCATTGTGGTTGTTAACTCTGCGATAGCTTGCCCATGATCATGTAGTTCCTTGTATAGGTGAATGACATTGGGGTCACCTTGCGGAACATTGGCCCTACTTTGCCATGTCGATGAAGTATCCACCATCTCATCCAAAATTTCACAAGCTTCGTCATAAGGTGTGTTCATGAATTTCCCGCCGTCGAGTTGATTTACCACATATTGATTTGTTGTGTTGATCCCCCTGTAGAAGGTTTGTTGGATCATGGCCTCGGTCATATCATTATTCGGGCACTCTTTAACCATGGTACGATATCTTTCCCAAATCTCATGCAATGGCTCATTGGGCTCTTGCTTGAACGCTAGAATTTCATCCCGTAGTGCAGCCATGTGCCCCGGAGAGAAGAATTTGGCAATGAACTTTTCGGCCAACTCATCCTATGTATGGATGGAATGATTGGGCAATCTCTCTAGCCAGTCCAATGCTTTTCCCCGTAAAGAGAAAGGAAATAGCCTCAACCTCAGCGCGTCCTCAGAAACATAGGTTTGCTTGCTCCCCCAACAAGTATCGACGAACCCCTTGAGATGCTTGTAAGCATTTTGATTTGGAGCCCCGGTGAAGAATCCCCGTTACTCAAGTAGTGTAAGCATCACGTTGGTGATTTGGAAGTTGCCCTCTCTAATGCGAGGCTGGACTATAGCACTTGCATAACCGTTGTTCAGCAACTCCCGGTGCGCTGCCGCTCTTGGTGGAGGTGGGGGAGGGACGGGAATATTATCATTAGGCAGTCGGCCTCGCCTATTTGCTTGAGGTTCGGGAAGAACCTCATCTCCTTGATCTTTGTCCACTTCCTCCCCCAATGACAAATTACCAATGGGCTCGTTGTTGAGATCCATTCTCGTACCTATAAGCAATTCAAAAATAAAATTGATGACTCGGAAGGAAAAGAAAACAAATCACACAAAAACCTAGATATATAGCTAAATCCGTTTAACTCCCCAGCAACGGCGCCGAAAATTGATGTCGCCAAAACTCACACCACAAATATAGGTAGTGAGGCGGTCAAAGCAATAATAAAACCCAACGCAAGTCGGGGTCGAATCCTCAGGGAGTTAGAATTGGGATTAGGTATATATTTAGTGTAATTGTATAATATGCCTTAGATTACACTTCCACATTCTTGTTTGTTGTTTCTATTTCTACTTTAAACTATTGATTGGCAATTATAAAACTAGGAGATAATATTTTTGGTTTTGGTTGTTTTCCAAATGATAATAGATCTAGGGTCGTGACTTCCACCTAAGTGGTTACCTAATGGGTTGAAAAATCTAGGACAAGCCTGATTGGTCGGAATTATAATATAGCAATCACCCGCGATTACCCACTCTATACCTCTCGGTAGTTTGAGTGATTTTGCACAATTTGGCTTTCTCAAGTCCAAATGGGTATTGCACAAAACAAGTGATAAATGCTCAAGTCGGGTCTTACTATCTCTAGATACAACCCTTTAATTGGGGCTATCAATTTCTTGAATTCACCCCAATTTCTTATTAGTCAAGTTTTCCTAGACTTAGTCTCTCTTTCTCAAGTACACACTAAGTCAATTAGGCATGAATCAATGTTTGCAACCATTAATTCTTAAATTCAATCAAGAACTAGGCTAAATATCACCAACCCAATTACAAATAAGTCCTAAATCAAACACCCATTAAGTACCCATACTAGGGTTGGGCCACAACCCTAGCTAGAAATTTAGCTACTCATGAAAAATGAAGCAATATAAGAAGAAATTAAGATAGAATGCATCATAATTGATTAGGGAAAGAAAATCTAATGCTTAGAAGCTAATCTAGTATAATATTACTCAAAACAATAAAGAAAAATGGCTCAGGTGCTCTCCCAAAACAAAACTTACCCTAAAAATGACAAAAAGTTCTATTTATACTAAGCTAAAAATATCTGACAAAAATACCCCTGCGGAGGTTGTGCGGCCGCATAATTATGTGTGCGGTCCGCACAACGAGACTTGGCTTGACAGGTTCCAGTTCTGCGGCCGCACAATTCTGGATTGCGGTCGCACTCCTTCAACTACGGCGGACCGCACATTTGTGAGTGCGGCTGCACTCTTGCTTCTGCGGCTGTACTCCTTGATCTTAGGCTCTGGCTGTGTGACACTTCCGCAGACCGCATAAAAATGAGTGCGGTCGCGCTCTTGATTATGCAGCCGCATAAAAATGGTGCGGTCCGCATTTTTTCTTGAACTTGAAATCCCATATCTCTGATCTTTGTCTTCTGCAGCCGCACCAGAATTGTGCGGTCCGCACTTTACATGTCATTTCTTGTCAGAGGTTTTCTTCATTATCTGCGGCCGCACTCAATATTGTGCGGTTCGCATAGTGCCCTTTTAGCCTTGTTTGTGTCCTTCTCCCATATTACTCCTTCTTGAGTTGATTTTCATTTCTTTAGCTCATTTTCTAACACTCCTGCAAGCAAGCATATTTCGTTAGATTTCGGGAATACCTTTAAGCAATTTTGAGCTAAAACGCAAGTAAAAGAGTGCAAATAAGCAATCAAAATCCCTACTTATCAATAGGTCACTCCAGAGATCACCTCAACTCCTACCATTGCGGGTGACACGCCACCAAAGACATTTGTAAGTTCATCTTCTCCTTCACAGGTATCTTCTACACCTAACTCACCTACTGCTATGTCTTCTCCATCTCAATCATCATTGTCTAAACCACAGCCTATGTCAAAATCTTCCAATCATCCCAGGGTCACTAGAGCACAGAACAACATTTTCAAACCTAAGGTCATTTTTGACTACCTTGTTGTATCCTCACCAAAGTAGCTACCTCTTGCTCCTACCACATTTTATCAAGCCAAGAAATACCCTGAGTGGCGTGCTTCTATGCATGATGAATTCACATCTCTTCTTAAAAACAATACCTAGTCTTTGGTTCCTAGCTCTTCCTCACATAACGTTGTTGGTTGCAAGTGGGTTTATCATGTAAAACATAAACCTGATGGATCTATTGATCAATTCAAATCTAGGTTAGTAGCCAAAGGTTTTCATCAACATCCCTGGGTTGACTATCATCACACTTTCAATCTTGTAATAAAACACACCACCATTAGACTTATTCTCACTCTAGTAGTGTCGTTCAAGTGGCCTTTACGTCAACTAGATGTAAATAATGCCTTCTTGCAAGGAACTCTCAATGAGGTTGTCTATATGCAGCATCCACCGGATTTTGTCAACCTCGACTTTCCACAACATGTCTTCAAGCTTCACAAATCCATTTATGGCCTTCGTCAAGCTCCTAAAGCTTGATACAATGAGATCAAAACCTTTCTTCTTTCCTATGGATTCCTCAGAGCAAAATAAGATGATTCTCTGTTCATAAAATGCTCTCCTAACTCGCTTCTCTTTGTCATGATCTATATTGATGATATTGTGGTCACTGGTTCCAACTCCTCTCAAGTCCAAACCACCATTCAACTCCTAGGTGATAGGTTCTCCATTAAAGACCTTAGTCCCTTGCATTTCTTTCTTGGAGTCGAAGTTCTACGAAATGCACATAGTTTAATTCTCACTCAAATTGGCTTTATTGCTGATCTCCTAGAAAAGTTTAGCATGCTAAACTCCAACAGTGTTGGCACGCCGATGTCAGTCGGCGAAGCACTCTCACTGAATGATAATTCCACACCTGCTGATGCCAAACTATACATGTAAGTTGTTGGTTCCCTATAATACCTAACCTTTACTCAGCCGGACATCTTCTTTGCAGTAAAAAAACTTGCTCAATTTCAGCATGCACCTAGTTGGCAGCACTGGCAGGCTACAAAACGACTTCTGCGCTACCTAAAGGGCACTATCACATATGGTCTCCATTTTTATCCTAGTAGCTCACTCAAACTTCAAGCATACTCAGATGTTGATTGGGATGGACTTACCGATACGCGGCATTCGACTTCAGCTTATGTTATCCTTCTTGGAAACAATCCCATAAGTTGGTGCTCCAAAAACCAACGGACAGTTGCTAGATCCTCCACAAAAGCTGAATATAGAGCTGTTGCTTCAGTTGTTGTTGAGCTTAATTGGATAACCAGCTTGCTGAAGGATCTTCACATCCCAATATCCAGTTCTCCTGTGGTGTTTTGTGACAACATTGGTGCTACTTACCTTAGTCGCAACCCAGTTTTTCACAGTCATATGAAGCATGTAGCTATCGATTTTCACTTTGTTCGAGATCTATTAGAACGCAATAAGCTATCTGTTAATCACATACCCACTGGCGATCAACTTTCTGATGCCTAAACAAAAGCCTTGCCTAAACGATCATTTACACACTTTGTCAACAAGATTGGTCTCAAGGAAATTGAGCCCATCTTGAGGAGGCATGATAAGGATAGACACTCCAAGCCTATCTTGGAGTCTTAGTTTAAGTTGTATCTTATGAGATTCTTTCCTATCTCCACAAGAGTCTTATGTACATAGAACGTTATCTCCTCTCTCCCTTCTCCTCTTGTACTTGTATATAAACTTCTCTACTGTAATTAATATAGACAAGATTTTTACAATTCTTATCAACTCTTATAGTTGAGTACTGGTAGATTCATATATTATATTCCTTATTTTAGATTTTACAAAATGTAGGAGTTGATCTTGTGACTCAAGAGTTAACAGTTGCAAGTGCATACCGTGGGAGCCCATTATCTTTCTTTTCGGTTGTTTTATGTTTGATGTTTTGAGACCTATTAGTTATAGATTTATGGTTCGCTTTAGGGTTTAACCAAAGGCGGAACTAAGATCTGAGACCTATTAGTTATAGGTTTAGAATTATAATCTATTTAAGTTATTGAGTTCTAAATTATTAATTTGTACATATTTAATATATTTTTTAAAACAATATAAAATTTGAACCAAAGCTAATGGATTTAGGCGAACCCGCATCTCACATGCTAGCTCTGCCCTTGGGTTTAACCCTTTTATTAGGTTCTAATTATGGCCCAAATTTGAATCATGTTCACAGTTGAATCTATCCCTATATGTATCTTCCTGTAACTATTAAGTTATAATTAATAGCTTGTTTGGCCAAGCTTTTTTCTTGGCCAAAAGTGTTTTTTTTTCAAAAGTATTTTTTTCAAAGTTAGGCGTTTGACCAAGCTTTTTGGAGGAAAAAAATGCTTTTGAGTAGAAGCAGAAGTGAGAAACCAAAAAAAATAACTTCTCCCAGAAGCACTTTTTGAAAACCATTTTTGAGAAAAATTCACTTAAAAGCACTTTTTAAAAGCTTGGCAAAATACTAATTACTGCTCAAAAGTGTTTTTCAAATTGATTAGCCAAACACAAACTGATTTTCACCAAAAGTAATTTTTGAAAAAGCATTTTTGAAAAAAATACTTCTCAAAATAAACTGATTTTAGAAACTTAGCCAAACAGACTATAAATTTTGATACTTAGATTTTCAGTGTTTTAATTAGCAGTGCAAACATTGGATGTATACATATACTTTATTATTCATAAAATATGGAATTATGTGGCCAATATTTTCCAAATTGTAAATATTTTTTGCCAACTTCATGAACAAAAAGTTGCTATGGGAAAAAAAAGAGAAGTAGTTGTGATGGAATCTTGGTCCATCTTAGATCTATGATATTAACTAGTCATAATCAAAGGAGGATTCAAAATTTAAAGTTCATAAATTTTGAATTTGAAGTTTATAAATTCTAAAATATATTATATAATGTATAAATAAATCTCTCAATAAATATATAGAGGACGATCCAAAATAACTGAATTCTCCTCCTATGCTAGCTCCGCCCTTTATAGCGGTGGCCGACTGTTACTAGAAAGAATGCTATGTTAAAACCAAAAAAAACGTTTGTTTCTTGGATGTATTGGTTGTGGGCGAATGTGAAGGGGCATGATGTTCAATAGCATCTGTCCTAGTATAGAGCGACATGTTTAAATCAATGATAATATCTTGCAAATTAAATATAACAGTAACACCGACAGGACTTAGAGCATGTTTGGCCAAGCTTCTCGGGGGCCAAAACTATTTTTTCCCTCCCCCCCCAAAAAGTATTTTTTTTAAAATTTAAGTTGTTTGGCCAAGACAGAAAAATACTTTTGGCTAGCAGCAGAAGCAGTTTTTCTGCTTTTGGAAAGAAGCAAAAAATTATAGCTTCTCCCAAAAAGTAGAAGCAGAAAATTAATTTATTCAAGACAAAACTATCATCACCTTAAAATTTATATTTTTCAAATTATCCCTTACTAATTTGAGTTTTTTCTTTTCATATTTATTTCTAGTTTTTACCATTCTTTTAAAATTAAAGATATTATATACATGAATCATATTGTAACTTTTGCAAATTTTTATTGACTTTTTTTATTTCTGATTTTTTCTCTGTGTAATGTCTTGTAACTTTCCAAATTATCTTCTTCTTTTTTCAAACTAACATAAATTATCTACATCCTTCTTTGGATTATCAATTCTCTTACTATAAATAATCATTTATAATTTCCTATATGCTATTAGTTCCCCAATCTTTAAAACTGTTATCAAATCTAACTTGTGAAAATTACCTATAAATAGGTAATAAATTTACAATTGCATCGCATAATCTATCTATATATTATTAAAAGAAGAAGAAAAAGCATCCACATTAAGACAAGTGGCAGCCTCACAATAGGCCGCTTGGAAATTTAGGACAAAATTAGTTAGGTGAGGTAAGAATTAGTTTTTTTTTTAATTTAAATTTAAAAAAAATATATATTATGTGTTGTTAATAATTTGTTACTCTTTTTAAATTTGAATTTAAACATACTTAACTATTATTTTTATGAAAATAATTTTTTTTATAGATTTAAAATTATTTTTATTTTACGCTCAATGCCATCTTTCAAGTTTGACACTCAGAATAATCTAGTTACAACTTACAACTACCGTGGCTATACATAATTTCATCCGGCGACATTCTTCTATCATAAGAAATTCAACAATTATGTTAATGAAGACATTACAACAAAGATTGAAGAAGGAGATGGGCCTTATATATGATATTCCTTTCGAAATATAAGGCAAGTCTTCTACTAATATAGAGGCGTTGGGTGATAGAAGTAGAGATAAAATTATTGAAAATTTTAATCATGTATGAGTGATTTTATTTATTATTTCATAGTAGATTATTAGTATATATTAATTTGTGGAATAGACTTCTAATTCATACTGAATGATGTATTTTGATTATTCAAATCATCGTATAACAATAAGTAATTATACTAGAACATTGTCACGACCCGAAATTCCCACCTTCGGACCGTGATGGCGCCTAACATTTCACTTGTTAGGCAAGCCAACATTAGAATAATATTATCCATTTTTAAATAATTTTAAATTTATTAATAATAAGTAAACAAATGCGGAAGCAAAGTTTGAAATATAGTGAAATAATCCATCAAACAACGGTATCTAAATACCATCCCAGAATTGGTGTCACAAGTGCACGAGCTTCTAGAATAAATATAAATAAAGGTTTGAATAATATAAAGTTGTCTGAAAATAAACACACAGCTAAAGTACAATAGACGAGGACTTTAGAACTGCGGATGCCATGCAATTATACCTCAAGTCTCCTCTGATAGCTGAAATCCGAGCAAGTCTATGGTACGCCGCTGGGACCAACTCCAAAATCTGCACAAGAAATACAGAGTGTAGTATCAGTACAACCGACCCCATATACTGGTAAGTGCTGAGCCTAACGTCGACAAAGTAGTGACGAGACTAAGGCGGTTCACTTACATTAACCTGTACGCAATATTAGTAACAACAACAATAATATGAATAAATCAGGTAATTCATTTATAATAATTGAAGGCAACTCAGCAGTCATAACCAATTATCATTTCTATTATTTCTGTTGCAGCGTGCAACCCGCTCTCACAATATATCCACATTCAGTTCTGTTGCGGCGTGCAACCCACTCCTCCAACATATTCATTTTAATCAAGCCTGTTGCGGCGTGCAACCCGATCCTCCAATATTGACTTTTAATAAGTCTGTTGCGGCGTGCAACCCGATCCTCCAATATATTCATTATAATCAATCATGTTGCGGCGTGCAACCCGCTCCTCCAATATTTTTATTTACCAATTCTTATAGAGGAAATTTTCCCAATAAATGTAACAATTAATATAAAATTACGAGACAACAAGCATACAATAATTATGGTTTAATTATGAAGCAAACAATGACAAATAGCAAATTATTATAGAAATCAGGGAGCAAATAGGCAGTTTAATATTTATTATGCTAAATGTCAAATAAAAATTAAGGCACATAATTTAAATAGCATGTAATAATTAATGCAGAAATTCACGAATTTATATTTGCAAAGAATAAGAGAGAAACGATTATTATAATAATTAATTTATGATTAAAAATAATTTATAATTTTTCAAGTAAGCAGGCAAACANTTAAAATTCATTAAAATATTCGGCAGTGGAACCCACGTCTCAAATCCCGAAAAAACTCGCGAAGTCCAAAAACCCGTTCCGATACGAGTTCAACCATACCAAATTTGTCCAATTCCGATATCAAATGGACCTTCAAATCTAAATTTTTCGTTTTTGGAAAGTTTTACAAAAATTTTAATTTCTTCCATCTAAATCCGAAATAAATGATGAATATAGACATGGATTTGTGAAATATAATCACTTTATGGTAAAGAACAATTACCCAGTTCAAAGTCGTGAAAATCCCCCTTGAAATCGCCCAAATCCGAGACTTAAAACTCAAAAATGAGTAAAAATGGCTAAGACACGATTTTATGTATTCTGCCCAATATTTTTGTATTTGCGGGCTATATTTTCGCACCTGCGGTCTTGCATTTGCGAGACAAAGCTCGCATTTACGAAGTGGGGCTGCCAAGCGAGGTTCCGCACCTGCGGACAAAATGTCGCACCTGCGACGTCCGCTTCTGCGCAAAAGGGCCGCACCTGCGAAGACCGCATCTGCGATAGAAGTCTCGCTTCTGCGAGCTCGCACCTGCGGTCAAAATTTCGCAGGTGCGATTACACCAGAACTCAAAATTTTAGATTTTGCTCAAGTCCAATTCTTGTTCCGATTTCAATCCGTTTTACTCTCGGGGTACTCGGGACCCCGCTCGAATATACCAACAAGTCCCGTAACATAATACGAACTGACTCGGGGTCTAAAATCACGTCAAACAACAATGAAATTACAATTCACACCCCGATTCGAACTTTGAGTTTTAAATTTTTAATTTGCAAATCTCGTGTCAAAACATATTAA